GTTCCAACATAAACATACTCTATACATGATATTTTACTTCAATTCAAAACAAAAACTTTATAGTGGATTTGGTGCATACCGAGCGAAAAGAAGTAGTCTCTTCAAAAACTAATTTGCAATTTTGGTTTTTTCGGATGTTCAAAATCATTCATAATTACTTCTCTTTCTCTTTCTAGTAGTGTTTCGGCCCCAAAATTCGGAACTTTGCTTCAATTTAACAGACTGCGTATCTGTCACGGTTTCCGAGACCCCAATGGTCACCCTCGAATCTCGAATTTGGGACACCCTGTACACACAAATTCAAATTCGTGGTTACGTTAGGCGATGCTTGATTCGTTCGATAACAGCACTATCGAAGGTGTCAACAAAAATCTCTGGCAAGAAATTTAAAAATCCTTTTTATGGTCAAATGCATTACCCAATAGCAGGTAGAGGATCAAATGGTATCAGAATCGATAAGAAAAAGAATCGTCGTGCTACCTGCTGGCAAGACAAGTACTTACGATGTAGTAGTAATAATAATAATAATAATAATAATAATACAACATACTAAAATATCTCCAGCAAAAACCCAAGCAGCCTCTCAAATACAACCTCAAGAACAAAGAAACACCATAAATACAACTAACGCAACATGCACTACAAAGAAAGGTCCACCCAATAAAATTACACGCCCTAGCACAGTTAAAAAACACATAACTCCTTCTTCACAGAAACACACCACATTTTCACAACCCACTCGTATTCAACCGCAACGCAAAAACCTTAACAGCACTACTAGCTCACAAAATACTGTAATATCTCCATCAATAACCCAAGCAACCTCACAAATACAACCTCAAGAACAAAGAAACACCATAAACACAAGTAACGCATCATGTACTACAAAGACAGGTCCATCCAATAAAGTTACACGCCCTAGCACAGTTAAAAAACACAATACTCCTTCTTCTCAGAAACAACCCACTCGTATACAACCGAAACGCAAAAACCTTAACACAGGCTCACAAAATACTGCAATATCTCCACCAAAAACCCAAGCAACCTCACAAATACGACTTCAGGAACAAAGAAACACCATAAATACAATTAAAAAACACAAAACTCCTTCTTCACAGAAGCACACCACGTTATCACAACCCACTCGTATTCAACCCAAACGCAAAGCCAAAGAAACACTTACACAATAAACTCCATTTAATAAAATTACAGGAATTATTATAATGATTTTTTTGTTTTATTTTCCTCTTTCCTGATAGCGTTGGCTATTGTGCCCATCAATAGGTATGTTGGTAAGTACGAATTACATTATCCCTAGATGTCCAATGTACGTGTGTGATATTATTATTATTTTTTTTTTTTTTACTACATAACTTCACCAGACACAGACACAGACACTAATCGTTACTTGATTTTAATCCGTGCGATTAGTTAACCAGGCTAGACCTGAGTTCTCACAAGAAACACCGATAATAATAATAATAATAATAATAATAATCTATTGTGCCCATCAATAGCTATGTTGGTAAGTATGAAATACATACTATCTCTAGATTTCCAATGTGAGGGTGTGAATTTTTATTTTATTTATTTATTTCTTTTATTTTTTTTTAGGACCCTACATAACTTCACCAGACACAGACACAGACACTAATCGTTACTTGATTTTAATCCGTGCGATTAGTTAACCAGGCTAGACCTGAGTTCTCACAAGAAAGACCGACCATAATAATAATAAATTGTTCTTTTTTGACTGAATATACAGGGTATCCATTATGTATGGAATATAGAATATATACCTATTTCGATAAATATCGAATGTATAAAATTTTTTCTATATGAAAGTTGTTTAACATTCTATTTCCCATAATGGCAGTGCACCTTTTGATTAGGCATTAGGCATAGAGATTTTTCTCTTCGATGGTGTAACACGTTAGCACCTTAATACAAGACAATTTCTTATTATAATCATATCAATAGCATTAATCTAGATATCCTACATCAAAATAAAACAAATGAACGTTCACGTTTCTTATTAAACCTTGAAGACAAAATAAAATTTGCAATAGAATGGCAACAAACGTACACATTCATTTGTTTTATTTTGATGTAGGATATCTAGTTTAATGTTATTGATGTGATTATAACACTTTTTTTTTAATTTCCTTGTATTAGGGTACTAACATGTTACATCATCGAAAAGATAAAAACAATCTACCTGTGTGAACTTGGCGCCCAACTTTAGAAAGCAATAATTTTAGTGATTGAAATGGATTGCGCTTCGTTTGTGCGCAATTGCATTTTGTTTGCGCGCTGCCGGTTTCAAAATTACGAAGGAATCAAATTCGGGGGGGGGGGGGGGGGGCAAGTTCACGACTGCCCCCAAGTTTACAAATTTCACTTTTTTTTCTTGGGATCGTTCGCGCCCCCGTAGTTTTTGAGTTATTCCAAATACAAAATTCCATACTGGCCCCCCATTTTTCAACTTTGCCATTTTTTTTTTCTTTTGATCATTTGCGCCTCGTCGCGCACTGTAGTTTTACTATGATTTACATGGCTTCCCCTACAAAATGAAGTTTTGTATTATACACGAGTATAAAGCGTAACTAGCTTTTTGTAGTCCACCTTTCACTCAATGCCTCAATGGTTAAAAATCCCGTCTTGTATAATAAATAAATAACTATTGATACAGCTAAAAGTTTAGTTATCATTCATGTTCCTTTATAACGTTATAAAATCTTAGCTTTTGATATTCTTAACGGTATTTATGCTCCAATGTAATAAATCATAGACAATCTAATTTTCAGTTTCGCTATCGCTGCGGCGTCAATAACTTTGAGTTTTGGCTTTATGCTGTCATGCTCTTCCAAGTAGCCAGTGATGCGTCGACAATAAGCAATATATTGACCAATACCATCACCAAGTGAGGGCTCGTCAAATAATCAAATTTGAACAATTATGAAATTTTGTATTTGGAATAACTGGAAAACGGCGGGGGCGGAAACGAAGGTATTGGGAGCACAAAGTAAGCGCAAACGATCACAAAAAAAAATGTCAAATTTGTAAACAGTAGGCAGTCGTGAAGTTGCCCCCCCCCCCCAATTTGATTCCTTCGTAATTTTGAAACCGACAGCGTGCAAACAAAATGCAATTGTGCGCAAACGAAACGCAAACGATCAAAAGGAAAAAACCGCCAAATTTGAAAAATGGGGGGCCAGTATGGAATTTTTATTTGGAATAACTCAAAAACGACGGGGGCGCGAACGATCACAAGGAAAAAAGTGAAATTTGTAAACTTGGGGGGCAGTCGTGAAATTGCCCCCCCCCCCCCCCGAATTTGATTCCTTCGTAATTTTGAAACCAGCAGCGCGCAAACAAAATGCAATTGTGCGCAAACGAAGCGCAAACGATCAAATGGAAAAAATGGCAAATTTGAAAAATGGGGGGCCAGTATGGAATTTTGTATTTGGAATAAGTCAAAAACGACGGGGGCGCAAACGAAGGTATTGGGAGCGCAAACATGCGCAAACGAAGTGCAATCCATTCCAACCACGAAAATTATTGCTTTCTAAAGTTGGGGGGCCAAGTTCACACAGATAAAAAATCTCTATCAAATGAGGCTAATGAAAAGGTGTATGTGATTGTATTTCGTTACTCGTTTGTTTTCTGAAATAAAACAACTGAATGCTGCCTTATTATGGGAAATAAAATGTTAAACAACTTTCAGATAGACAAATTTTGTATACATTCGATATTTACCGAGATATAAATATTCCATACATAATGGGCACCCTGCATGCATACAAGAAAAAAAGATGTATATATCCGTAAGTAAACAATCTTAATCGACCAAAAAGATCAATTCGCCTAAATGCAGAAAGGTCTGCATCAAGCGGATACCACTGACCTTGACAAACGAACAAAAAACATAAACGCAATACACTCGAACGTAAAGAAAAAATGAAAGAAACAGGAAGAAAAAAAGGAAATGTATATTACGAGAAACATGCGTGGCGCTGGCGACTACAGTACTGGAACGGGACTCAAAGCAACTCGCGGTGGCGTTGAAGAGAAGGTAGTGAAGTCGTTCCGAAGAGAGTAGAAGGACTCTCGTAGTAATGAAGATGGCGATGGAAAAAAAAGCATAAACGAAGCTATGGAGAGTGCTGGATAAAGGTTAGGGAGGCAGCGAGTGATAGCAAGATCTGCACAATGAAGGTGGCCCTAAGTCTGTAAGAGGTTGAAGAAAGTCAACATAGTATCTTTATGAGCAGAATAAATTTAAAGTTTTGCTTTTCGATGAGACTGACTACTTAAAATCATCCAGGAGAAAGGTCTTGCTGAAAGTTCGGTTTTTCGAGTTCCTGAATGCGAAAGTTGCAGTAGCAAACATTTTTGAAATGTGCCAGTAAAAGGGAAAACCCATTCTCCCTACTCGCAATGTACCATGTTTCACACAAAAACGAAGTTTACGTTTACATTAGTTTTAGATTGAGACATTGTAAAAATAATCTCTGATAAAGATAGAGTGTTTTTGGCGCCTAATTATATTTCTAGTGCAATAAACACTCGACCATTAATAAATTAACTCCCATTACAAAGAACAGTTGCATGCAATGAATTAATACGAGATATCTAATCCTGTCACTTTGACAAAGTTTCACCGCAAGCCGCGCGTCGACAATGGCTCTTTTTAAATACAGATTCTGCAATATCACTTGACATTTAGAACACTAATGAATAAACAATAACGCCTTTGTTTCGTTTAAATAGTGAGCAATCATCATGACAGGCTATCCATAAACGTGTTTCAGTTGAACCAGACGCATGAATAACATTTCGATTCGCGTTTTTAGTAGTACGCGATCATAGTGCCAAGAAAAATATTACGAGACGCGGTTACTTTTAGTCTACAAACGCGACCGATAATTTTAGATCGTCCATTCTAAATTCCACGTCCTGGCCAACGCGGCGCGCCGCCCGGCGATAAAACAAAACGGTTTCGGCGGAAATTCCTATCGTTCCTTGCACTTATTTACGTAACGTTTCGAATGTAGATTAGACGTTACCTGAGTTCGTCGTTGATTATAGCTAAGGGTGACGGTTCCAGTTCCCGTAATGGGATTTTCTTCGATCCGCACGACCGTACTATCGGCAAGGCGAAGTTCCGGACTGCGTTCCGCCGAATTGACAAAGTCTTCCGTTCGCATGTCCTCGACCCGTCTCAGTTCTCCGTTCGCTAGCTGTATAAGGGAGCCTTTGGTGAAATTTCCCACGGGCACGACGTTGCTGGTTCCAGTTTTGGCGGGCGATCGCGGCGGCGAAACGGTGGCAGTAAGTCGTTTCCTGGTGGCTTCGGACAGTTTCGGACCATCGTTCGGTTTCTGCGCGTCCGTCGAGTGTCTTAGGTGGATACTATCGCCGGGCCTCGTCAGAATTCGGTGTTTTAACGAGCCCTCTTTTCCGGATGGCACTTTAAAGCTAGGGGACGGTTTGCGCTCGACGCGCGTTATGGTTTGGGACGGCTGCTGCTGTACAACGGCAGGCGGGCTGAAGGTGGCCGATGGCGTTAGAAAAATGGCAGAACCGGTAGCTGATGGCGTCGTTGGCGTGTACGGAGGTTCTAGGGGGGAGAGAGGGGGAGGTTGAGGGTAGTTTGCACGGAGAGGAGGTGTGTACGGCGGTTGGTAGAGAGAGGTGTATGGTCCAGAAGGATGGTACATAAACGGAGGTGGGGGTGGAAATAGACGAGAGTAGGCCGAGTATGGCAGTTCTTCTGTGGATTCTTCTTTCTGTTGAGTTAGATTAACCGGTGTCGCAGCCGGTGGAGATGGGTATTTGCTCGGTTGCCTTTGAGGTTGCCTCGTTCCATTTAAGGAACTACTAAGGTGTACGCCATTATATCTGAAACGAAGCGAGTTATGCCAAACTGAGATGCGAGATTATTAAGACACTTACCTATTTGGAGGAAGTGGTTTTGGAGCTGGTCGAAGAAATTCAGGAGGTTGCTTGGGCGGTCCGCCCCAAGGTTCTGGGTACGTCATGTAGGGTAGGCGGCCCTCTATTCCTGCGGAAATCATCGGTTTTGCGTTTTCACGGGGCCCTCCTGTAAGGAAACGACCCGTTAGTAACTGCCACGCAAACAAAACCTAACCTTACTTAATTTACAAAAAGAATATTCGGAAAGGGTCGATGCTTTGCAATTTAACGTCGCAGAAACATTTATCACCCGGCGTTTTGTGTATAATGTAACTTCAGTTTAATTCATGAAGCGAGGGTGGCCGAGAATCGATCGCAACCCCAAAACGTTTTGTGTCAGTAGGTTACAACCAAACCACATTAGGTCCATTCATTACTTTCGTGTCGATTTAAACAAACACAACCCAGACTTCACCTACATTAAACGTACTGTAAAAAGAAACCAATTTGGAACTCTCGTCCAAAGGATTACTTCAAAATTGTTCTATTACATTTTGTTTCTACCTCTCGTTCACTAATATAAATATAATTGAGCCCCGATACAAATGGTATATTTGCGTTTCGTATACATTAACGTCACGAAAATATATCTTTACCATCTATTATTTATTGTCATCCATGGAAATATAAAAAACTTATTGTTATAGGTCGGTCTAAAAATAACGTTAATGTTTTAGGCGTGTGCCAACAAAGGCATTACAATTCATTGTGGGCGCTGATTTGGACATTATTTCAAAACTTGGGAAGTCCCTGAAAGTGTTCTGGTAGTGAAATTATAGAACTAATAATACCTACTGGAATACAAGATGAAAACAAAGGGAAAAGCCGAAAATGTAAAACAATTAAGTATAAATATGGATTTATTTGTTTTCTCTTCTTATTTCCACGTGGTGAAAAACCTCCTCTACTAAGGTAGATAACGTTTGCATTTTTTTTAGAAATGAAGCATTGTACCTGTAGCTCTGAAATTGTCACGGTTTGAACGAGAATTAGTCGATATCGCGCAGGCGCACAACCAACATTCTCCCTCAAAGCGTGCATGAGGATCGGCTGGGCAATGCATTACAGCCACAGGGCAATTTGGGTTGAAAGCGGGGCTCAAAGAGTGCAGTAAACAGGCAAATAGTCAATTTCATCTTCGTGCACAATTTTGCTCCAAGATTATTTTGGTATTTTTGATGGGAAAGGAATCCGAGGGGTCTTAGATGGTACACCCTGTATAACATTAGAAAAACGGGAAAACAATCTACGCCGTCTCGAGAACATGGACGCTTCTTACAGCCATCTTGGTTTGAATTGTCGTCGAGAGAGGATCGTATGACATGCATGCGTAGTCATCTTTACATTTCTTTATAATTTATTTGTTTGGTATACATGCTCTTGGTCCCAAGCTTAATTTATATATTTAGTAATTCGTTTAAATTTGTGAAAATTATCAATTTGCTTGATGTTTGTGTAGACTTGTATGTACATACACTAACACTTTTCGCGGTCAAGAAACAATCCCCGGGATGGGGCATACTATAACTAAAGTAGTTACGAGATCTAAAACCTCGAATCTGAATTTTACGCTTACTTTCTCGCACGAGGGACGTGCTACCCTTTCCAGGGGTATGGGTCTGTTAAGATAAAACTCTTCCTTTTCTAATTTAATAGGTGTTTAAAAATAGACAATACAGAAACACTACAGAGACTAATGAATACTGAAATACCACAAACGCATTTCAACAATACATAACGTCTTAACTACAGTGTTGCCATTTTACAAATAGAGAAAAAAATTTACTTTTATGCAACTTATACCTTCTTAAATTTAGGGTTTTTAAAACACCCGTTATGTACAATATGAGTTACCATTCACTAATTTGCACATATTTCGTAGTTTAAACGGTACTATCTAAGGCAATGTAATTTTTCCAGGAGTACCACAGATGCTTGTAACCCGATCAGTTCTTTATTTTGCAACTTGCTGGGTAACCTGTTTTTACAATCAAGTTTTGTGTATATAATTTAACTTATCATGATTTATTATCAATCATTTAATGAAGCCAATTATCTTACTGAGTTGACTGCTAAAATAACTGATCAAAATGCGAAGGCTTATCCAATAAACAATTATAAGCGATTACAGTATTTTTTAGCGCATTTTCCAACTCATGTTGGAAGATGCTATTATGGCCACTTTCTCCGTCCGGCGGATTGTTATAGACAATGAATATCGGATCTTGTTAAAAATCAGATATGCGCATGCGCAAAATCATATTTCGTTTTTGTGGAAAGATTTTTTGAAATTTTAACCACAGATGCATCTAGTAAAGACAAGCATACAGGGTGTTTTTTTGGGAGCTTTAGTTAAAAGTTTCTGGGAAAGTAAAATAGGTAGGATTTTGAAAATTTGTACTTAGGTGTTACTCTGAAGGCCGAATCGATGTAAAATATTTTCAAAATGGCCGCACTTCCGGAAACACCGGAAGTAGATAGTAACTTCGTTATTTTAAATGGCAACCCCTATTTTTTATTGCATTTTTGGATTCTACGTGAAATTTCAGTTCTTTTGATACCCATATGTCATATCTGCCATTTATGGTTTTTAAGTTATTTTGACTTTAAGAAAAAAAAATGGCGGATGCAGATGGTACCTTGATAATTGATTACTTGAAAAAGGTTATAGTCATGGCAACCCATTTTTATCAGTGCATAGAGAATGAATAGGGCTTTCTTTTACTGTACTTAAAACAAAGTTAAGTTGCGTACAACCGCACCTATGGAGATCCAAATTTAAGAAACTTCAAAGTCTATAAACTCAGTTTTTTTAAATGGAATGACCATGTTCTTAATATTGCATGAGATAGAGAATCGAAATTGGCATATTTTGATATTACATGTTCCTATAGCTATCTTTAACAGTTTCTGATTTATTCCCATTTCATTGAATTGATCTCGGAATTGATGCCATTTTTTTTCGCATTTTCTTTTTAGTAGTTGGCCATGATTTTATAACAATCGAATTTTAAACAAATCAAGGAATGGATTCTTTAATACGACTGATTCTAGTTCTAGTCTAAATAATTCATTAATAAATAACTCATTTAATAAGGATATAGGACAGAAAATTTTTGAAAAATCTAAACAGAGTCGTTCAACTGAATTTCTTAAACAACGTATAAGTCTGGAAATTAAGAGAGGTAATGCGATATCTGTTCTAGCAACAATTCCATACCAAAAATGTTTCAACAAAGTTTTTTATATTTTGCATTGAATTTATTTTGTTAATCTTGCATTTGCAATTCAATTCATTTTCTTAAATATTCTCTTGTAGAGCTTTGTATAACTTGTGCTTCAACGGTTTGTAGTGCATTAGGGGTACAAAATTTCCAAAAATTCATACAATTTCGTTCTAGTTTTCGAATGAATGTACGGAAAGCACGCGCCGCGATTCTGCCCATTTCACCATAAATAACAATTAAATTCCAAAATAGGTGAAACCACTGCGAGTCATTTTTCGATTTTTGAAAAACTTATGTTAACCTATAACAGTGGGTGATGGATTAGTGTCACTAGATTTGTTTAAAATTCAATTGTTATAGAATCATGGCCGACTACTAAAAAGAAAATCCGAAAAAAATAGTGTCAATTCAATAAAATGGGAATAAGTCAGAAACTGTTAAAGATAGCTATAGGAACATGTATTGTCAAAATATGCCCATTTCGATTCTCTATCTCATGGAATAGTAAGAACATGGTCATTCCATTTAAAAAAACTGAGTTTTTAGTCTTTGAAGTTTCATAAATTTGGATATCCATAGGGGCGGTCGTACGCAACTTAACTTTTTTTTAAGTGCACTAAAAGAAAGCCCTATTCATTCTCTATGCACTGATAAAAATACCGCCATGACTCAAGGTACCATCTGCATCCGCCATTTTTTTTCTTAAAGTCAAAATAACTTAAAAACCATAAATGGTAGATATTGACATATGGGTATCAAAAGAAGTGAAATTTCACGTAGAATCCAAAAATGCAATAAAAAATAGGGGTTGCCATTTAAAATAACGAAGTTACTATCTACTTCCGGTGTTTCCGGAAGTGCGGCCATTTTGAAAATATTTTACATCGATTCGGCCTTCAGAGTAACTCCTAAGTACAAATTTTCAAAAACCTACCTATTTTACTTTCCCAGAAACTTTTAACTAAAGCTCCCAAAAAAACACCCTGTATTGCATATTGTGCATAACGAAAGTTGAGTTCGAGCATGCGCACACTGATTTTACTAAAACCTTCATCCTCGGCCCTTATAAGACATTAAAATGCGAAGAATCTACTGTTATCGGTTATACAACCATTTTCCTGAAGACATTAAAAAAGTTAAAAAATCCAAATGACAACGCGACGTCGGGTGTGCCAATTGGGTCGACATTCTCACTGCGTCTAATAAAGTCAGAAAAATGCGCATGTCACAACTCGACTGAAGGCTGAAGGCGCAAATTCGATATGTTCAAATGTGTAGCTGCTCTTCTGAAATTTTAACAGTACACTGAGATGTTGATATCCTTCTCTGATAAAAGAGATCAGAACGCATGTCAAAATTCGATCAGTTTTCTTACTTGACCCTTCGCACTAATACCGCGCGAACAACAATTGGTTCAGGGGGACAGCTGCTTGCAGTGCCCCCCCCCCCAACACTAGACATTAGAAAAACGGTAGCATTAACCCGCCCTACTTAATCATGTGTGATGTTACATATCTGACAGTTTTGAATTTGAATTGTTCCCGCTTTTGTCCGCGGTGAAATGGAAAACTGCTACGCAACTGGAAATGTTTTATCGGGGCAGAGCACGATTCAAATTGCACAAAGACGAAGCATCGCTCTTGGTCTTGCGTAAAAGAGTGTGGATTGTTTCCTCGAGCGAGACAAAAAGTTGCGGGAAATTTGGTAGTCGACGAATCACAATTAAACAAGTATAAATGGTGCACAACTCTTGTGCAGATAAAGCGCATTTTTTTAAACCGAAATAGCTTTTGTTGTGACACCACCAATAGATATAATTATTTCTTGCAGACGTCTCCATCGCCCTTTGTGAGTACCCTCTTCCGACAATCCGTTCTTGAGGTATAAGGGAATATACCCGATCGCGATAAGAGGTCGAGGAGGAGGGCTATGGTTGGCAGAAATTAATTCCTTTCGTTGAGACCTTTCATTAGCGTACCATGAAGGATAAAACCCCCCTTCTCCTCCACAGAAAGGAGAGTAGTTGGTAGAAAACGGTCCCTTTCGTTGAGACCTTTAATTAGAATACAATGAAAGATAAAATTAATTGTAAACCTCCCCAGACCCCGTCGCTCTCTGAACTCCAAAAAGATTCGCACGGAAAAGTTATAGTTTATACAAACCAATTTATTTCGATGAGACCTTTCATTAGAATACCATGAAGAGTAGAACATTTTCTATTTTCTAAAGTTTAACTTGGCACCACTAAAGGCAGGCGTATACAAAATCTTGAGACCAATTGGATGTCCTCGTGGTTTGTCGTATGTAAAAGTTATGCACGTTTTACTTTCAAAAACAGCATCACAGGAAATAATTCGTGTGAGGGCCCCCCCTTCAAGGTATAGGCTACCTACTGCAAAAAATTCCAGGACTCTAGAACCATTCCCCTAGAAGTAGTTCAAAACGGTAGAAGTGGGTCCGGACGGGCGGACAAAACGCAAACAATAGCACATTTTTTTTAATTATTAAAAAATGCGCTAAAAATAGCTCGAGTGTATGTAGTGGTTCGCAATTTTCTTTGAAAATGTATCATTGCATGT